GATGAAGTGAGATTGACACTCATATAGTACAAGCATACAAACTGGTGCACACTTTCTGGAGGGAACTGTGGCAGTTTGATGATAACGATTAAACTACACATGCACACACACACACCTTATATATACACGTGTTGTACATATACACACTTACTATGTACACATATACATAAATAAAATATTTGAAGGACTTGTATGGAGGTCAACAATCTGGCCCTGCCTACCTCTCCAGGCTCCTGTCCACGCTTTCCTTCCAGCTCTGAGTCTATTCACTATTCACACTGGTTTCTCCCAGTTCTTCCACACACCCCACGTTCCCTTCTGCCAGGGAGCTTGTGCAATGTCGTTCTTTCTGGTTTATTTATTTATTTATTTTTGGTCACTATTCATCCCTCTTCTGATTAATCAATTCCTGCTCATCTCTCAGATCTCAGGTGAAGGGTCACTTCCTCAGGAAGCCTTCTCAGACCACTACTCCTCTGCCTCTACCCCCTAAGTCTGGACAGGTTCCCTTATATTCTGCTGTTAGGGACTGCATTCCTTTCTGTGTAGCACTCAGCCTAGTAAATCATGATATTCTCCGTTGTGTGATTTGATTATTCATCTGTCTCCCTTTGTGCACTATAAGTTCCAAGAGAGCAGGTTTATGTTCACCTTTCCAACCCCAGTGCCTAAAAAGGGCCTGGTATGTAGGAGAGGCTCAATAAACACTTGCTGATTGAATAAATGAATGGTGAGATTACCATCAATTTTTATTTTCTCCTCTGTGCCTCATCTTTTTCACTTTACAATGATCATGTGATGCTCTTATAATAATAAGAAAATCATTAAAAAAAAAAAAGCTTTTCCTTTCCTTTGAGGCTACAGCTGTTCTCCGCAGAGCCTGCTGCCTTTTGGCACTGATCCTTCTGACTGCTACCTTCAGAGACTAGCTTATGATGTGGAACATGATTAGGCTGCATTGTCTAAAACTCTGCCCCAGATGGGGTAACTCTTCCCTGCCATCACCTTTGGGTTATTGGCCACAAAGCAGATGATTGACTCCTGCTATTATCTTTCTCCTGCCCTCAGGGGGCGTACAGCCTGGGGTGGCCTTCATGACTCAGCAAAAGACCCTCTAACAAAGCTGCATACCACTGTGCCTTGCCAGCTAATGACAAGACAGTGGGATTTTCCTGAGTGCAAGTCCCGCCCTAGTATTTGAGGAGATAGCTCTTGGCGTGAAACCCTCACGCATCATTCCCCTCCGCTCCCCTATATAAAGAGAACTATAGTCATTATGACTTTTCCTGTGGAGTCGAACCTAAGCTTCTTTAGGGAATTAATGAATGATTGAATGGTTTCAGCTTGAGACTCAAGTACTTGTTTTCTTCCTATAAACTGACAGCATAAATGCAATTATGGTTGTAGCTAAGTGAGAGTAATTCCTCCATATGGTGCTTCAGGTGGCCTTCAAGATATTTTTAATACTTCTGTAGGCAAGTTAAGAAAATCTTGTCAGTCTGCAAACATTTTACCAGCCTCCACAATGTTCACCTACACATTGCAGTGTTACAAGGATAATCTGTCATTTCAAAACCTTTTTGGACTGAGTTGGGGAATAAATAAATAAGGAGGTGCAGCAGAAGAGGCTGAGCCCCCTCACTCTGAAGAAGTATCGTTCTGGTGGCTTGAGTATTTTCTATTGTTACTTAAGTTCTGACTTTTCCATGGCCTGATTTATCTCTTCACAGGCTGTGAGCCCTCATGAGTGACAAAGTCCCAGCACAAAGCCTGGTTTTTCTGTGTCTTAGATCCCCGGATATGCTGCAGAGATCAGAATTTTGTCATTAAGTATTTTCAGGAAATTTGTGGGTGACGAGAAGCTATTGATTGATAGGATAGCATCTACATTAGGACAAATGTGGCAGCAGGCAAGTTGCATTCATCTAGCATTGAGATGAAAAGCTGATTACACAGCTGAGGGCAAATGAGGTGGAAACATCTTGGAGATTAGGTTTGCTCCCAGTGTCCTACATTTCAGAGGGATGTGATCATTGGTTTCCTGTTGAATTGCCTCCTGTGGACAGTGTTTCTCTCCCACAGATTGTTTGTTTTGGGGTTGAAATAAATACAAAATCTATCCGGGAGAATGCTGCACGTATACATTTAGCTCAGTAGGAACAAAGAAGAACATGAACAAAAAAAAAAAAAGAAGAAGAAGAACATGAACAGTAGTGGCCCTGTGGCAGGTGTTCTGGGATAATTTTGTTATCCCGAGTCCGTGATAGATAATACACTGAGGTCCGGTTGGGTTAAGGTGATTTGGGCTGGGGACAGAACTAGTTAGTGTGATGAACTGTTGGGCCCTTTCTAGAATTATTTGTTATGTGGGCATATCCTGTCAGATCATAGTCCTTCTCTGTGGGAAAGCCAAGTCCATTCCCCTGGGAACGCTCACTGGGGTGCTCTTCCTATCGGTGTTCCCTTCACACTCCCAGAATTTACTCTGAGTGTCTAATCCCCATGTTTACTCCAGCTGGTCTCCCTGACATCCATACCTGGGGTGTCCAGAATGCTGTCCCTTGGCATTAGCTCGTGGGTCAAAGAAACTCCTTGCTTGTGACTGGTCACGTAATGGGAAGGCGGGACTCTGCTGCCACAAAGGATGCCACCCACCACATCCTATCTTTTTACCCTGCCTGGACTGGAGTCCTTCCAAAAGGAACTACCAAATGTGTGTGTGTGTGCGTGTGTGTGTTTCCTCTGTGCCTGGTTTCTCTGCTTCATTTTTAAATACATCTTCTGATTTTCTAGGTCATACGTTGAAATCACTCACCTCAGGGAAGGACAGAGATTTCAATTAACCAAAGCAGATCACTTACATATGCAAGGCAGTGCAAGGGTGAAAAGGTAAACCACAGTTGATGGCCGGAACCAGCTTTTATATTTTCTTGGCTCCATTTACAAAGTAGGGTACTTTGATAAACAAATGGACTGAATTCAGTATTTTAAAAATCACAGGCCTTGCACTGTATATTTTAGAGAGGGGTGCATTTCTGTTTAGATTACAAGAGATAGCTTCTTCCCGTGCGAAGGCAGCATGGTGTACTGCAAAAACGGGGGCTTCTGAATCGAAGGATTTGGGATTAAGACTTTTCCTTAGCTGTGCAAACTCAAGTGAGTTATTATTCTTTCTAGTCTCGGTTTCTTCATCTGTGAAATCAGGATAATACAGACCATGCTGGGGGGCTGTGAAGACTAGCAATTTTGTTTAGAAAGTGATCTCTTCAAGCCTGATCCAGATTTGCGTCCTCAACTGGCTGTGCTTCATCAAGGTCAGGAAATGGGTTTTATTGAAATGAATATCCCCAGAATCTAGTACAGCATCCAATATATATTAAGCCCTTAGTAAGTATGTATTAAATGAGGAACGCATACAACCCTAAATGCTTAGACCACTAACCTGTTAGTGTATACCTTTGTATTGATCTGCAACCTTTAGCTTATTTATATTTTGTCTTTATAGATAGCCTCTCTGAGAAAATACTTCTCTTCTTCTCCTCTCTCTTTAAACCACCTCCTACATATTCCTCCCTCCCAACCTTAGAATTAGTACATATTTCCAGGTGTGAATAAAGGTCAGCATAAGATTTATGAATCTCTTCAGAGAGCTGTTTTGGGTTATTATCCTCTTTCTTTCTCTCTAGGACTCAGCTCTTATGGCCATGATATTATTTTATTGGTTTACTTTAAAAGATTCCTACACCGGGCGCCTGGGTGGCTCAGTTGGTTAAGCGACTGCCTTCGGCTCAGGTCATGATCCTGGAGTCCCTGGATCGAGTCCCGCATCGGGCTCCCTGCTCAGCAGGGAGTCTGCTTCTCCCTCTGACCCTCCTCCCTCTCATGCTTTCTGTCTCTCTCTCAAATAAATAAATAAAATCTTAAAAAAAAAAAAAAGATTCCTACACCAATTAAAAACTAGCGAAGACTCATGCCCTGGAAAAATTTACTTACTTCCCATAAATATCAAATTACAGCTCCTCTGTATGAGCAAAACTGACTTGCAACTGCTCCTAACACATTGCAGGGGTGATGCTTCACTCTTAGAAGTGCTTTGAAGCCCCAGTTTTAAGTAGTCAGTATCGTCCCTCTAGGATAGTTTTTCAGGTGAGAAACAAATAAGCAAAACTTCAAAGAAGAGTTGTGTTATTGCTGCTTGTTATTCTTTTGGTTGATAACGATGGGCTTTAAACAGAAATACTGACCTAGCGTTGACTCTGCTCCTAATTATGTGACCCTGGGACAACTACTTGACCTCTCTGAGCCTCTGTTTTCTTTTCTTTTTTTTAGATTTTATTATTTATTTGACAGAGAGATAGAGAGCACAAGTAGGCAGAGAGGCAGGCAAAGAGAGAGGGACAAGCAGGCTCCCCGCTGAGCAGGGAGCCCGATGCGGGGCTCAATCCCAGGACCCCGGGATCATGACCTGAACCAAAGGCAGACGCTTAACACACTGAGCCACCCAGGCGCCCCTGAGCCTCTGTTTTCTAATCAATAAGGTGGAATTTACACAAGGTAGATATGTGGATTGAATGAGATAATTACATATAAAGTGCCTACCAGTGTTTGGGTAATATTATAAGTAGGAATAAATCAGAGTTCTCATCAGCTATTATTTCTAGAAAAAAAAAACTGAGGGAAAAAAATCACTTTAAAATATCTTCCTATTCTTTTTCTTGCTTGTTTATTATTTGAAACCAGAATCTGTTCAGGATAGATTTCTTTTCTTAATGGATAGACAGAATTTGCACTTAACAGGGAGCAGATTAAAGGCAATGCCCTTTCTTGCCTACCTACTTGGAACAGATGGAAATGCCACTCAAATCACAGACCAAATCACCATATCGTTAAGACCTCAAATCCTCTTATGAAAGGTTTGGAGGCAGTTCTTCCCAGGAATGATCAGACACTTATCTGGGGGGCAAAATAGTTACCTTGGCATCAAGTGTACACTGACTCACCGTCACAGAAACAGTGGCAACAAGATCTTGAACGGTGGTTTTCCAGCAAACAGGTAGCCTTCATTGTGAGGCCCACCCTCTTGACGTCCAGTCCTCCTTTACCCGGATCGCCGAGACCCTACTTCATTTTTTTTTTTTTTGGCCCGAAGTTTCAGCTCGTAACTACAAGTAGTCAGAGTAATTTATCTGCCAGCGAATCTGGTTAAAGAGTTATTCGGAGGCCGCGTGGGGCCGTGGGGGAAACTAACAGAGGGGTTTGGATTTACGTGAGGATTGAGTATTCCTCCTTTGCTCCTTTAAGCACTTATTACCGAGAATGGCTAGGCTGGGGGTGCAGAGGCAGGGGGCACTGAGCCGACCACTGGAGCGGCACAGCCTTGCGGGGTCTCCGAGGCGTGGGAACCTCGAGAACCGTGGGAACAGACCCGCCCCCTTTCCCCCATCGCTTCGAACCAGTCCAGAGCATGCGCTCAGAGAGGGCCCGGGAGCCCGGGAGCTGAGGGCACGGAGCCGGGGATTGGCTGTTGCCCTGGCTATCCACCTTTGACCTAGCCTAACGAACGCAGCCTCCAACCCCGCCGCGGGGGCTTGAGTTGCCCAATAACCTCACCGCGCCCTGGCCAGGCCCAGCGCCTCCGGTGCTGATTGGGCGCCGTCCCTTCCCGCTCCTCCTTGCCATCTGCCCGCCCGGGCGCCGCTGCACGTTTCCATTGGTCGTCAGCCCTGCCGATCAGTCCACGGCTCGCTTCCCCCAAACAGCCTGCCGGGCCGGCGCGTGCTAGGGAGGCGGGGTCTCGGGGCAGGGGGCGGGGCAGGGGCGGGGAAAGGGTGGGGCCTCGGCGAAGGCTGGCGCAGCGGTGGCTTTGGGCTCTGGGTCTGGACTCCAGCGCAGCATCCTCGCTGCAGCCGCTACGGCTGGCTGCTGCACTTGGTCAGGTAAAGCGAGCCTTGTCTGTCCCGCTGGCGGTCTGCTCCGCCTCTTCTCCCTCCCGACCACAGGCTGCCTGCTCCTCTCGGGGCGTCAGGGCTCTCGGAAAGAGGCATCAAATCTGTTTTGCCCCGTTACCTTACCTTCTTCCCCTTCGGCGTCCGTTCCTCAAGCTCCCCAAGCAAGCGGTTCCGAAGTGCGTTAATAGGGCCTCCCGGGTCACCCTAACGCTCCTCGCTACAGAACTGTCGTTAACTCTCAGGTCCCAGCGCCCGTGACCTGCCAGTGCAGTCTCCTTCCCAGCGTGGCACAGGAAGGGTGGAAGGGCGGGCGGGGAAGGGAGCGATGCAGCGCTTCATTTTGAAGCTGGACGTTTTTAGTTCACAGGGGGAATACCTTAGTGAGGTTGTTTTGGGAACGGAAGCTGCTTCACGATGGTGATTGGCAATGACCAGAAGGATATCTGTTGCTGCTTTGTGCTTATATTTGTAGGTGACATTCACCATCACCATTTTCTTCTTCCATCAACATCTTCACCACGACCATCACCATCAACATTTCTCTTCCTCCATCAGAGCTCTTCAAGTTCTGCAAAGGCAGACTCTATTCATGCATGTAAGTGCTCTCCCCAAATAACACGCAGTGCCCTTGCCCCCTAAGGCTGGACAGAGCCAAGTCCTCATTTAACTCAAGGCCAAAGAGCTGGGAGTGGGGTGTGAATGGAGAGAATTTCTTTATCCCTATTTGCAGTTGAGATTGCCACAGAAAACCCTTTCCTCTAATCATTCACACTGCTGTTGGCTGACTAGGGAGAGTTTGACATTGGCAGTCAGTCACACACGCCGATGAGCTGAATGCAGAGTCCAGGGCCTGTGATCCAGGCCTGTGCAGGATGGGTGCTTTAGCCACGAAGAGGGGAATGTCCAGACCCAAGCCTTTAAGAGGACCGGGTGAACTAGATTAGCATCTGACTTTCTTCCACAGTGGCTCCAGCTGTACTAAAGGACGATCCATGTTTGCATCTGCATCGTGGACCCTGCCACCTTGGGGGATCCAAGTCCCTGGGAGAGAGAATTATGTTGTGTTGTCTACAGCGGGTAGCATCCTATGAGGGCAGGATTGGGATTCAGCAGCCATTGCTTAGCTGTTCCTAGGGCTTACTACAAGATCACTTGAATTTCAGATTTATTAACCCTTTTTCAGGAGGGGAAAACAGTACAACTGAGGGTTGCCTACCAGATTAACTGTCATTGTGGAAGATATTGCTTTAAAAGTGTTCAGAGGTTTCAGGTTTTGGTCCAGACATATCTAACCATTAGTCTCCTTTTTCCCAACGGTGGTTATAGCCTAGTAGTAGGACCAATGAATACAGTGCCTTTAGATATACTGCGGGGACGAAGGAGCAGTGGCCTCACCAGAGGGAAACAATGGATAAAAATTGGGAGACAGTATATCAAAATGGTTAAACCCAAAACCTGTCACATGGATTCAAATCCTGGGTGAACCGCTTACTAGCTGAGTGATTTTGGCAAGTCATTTACTCTCTTGCACTTTAGTTTCTGATTTATAAAATGGGGATAGTATTACCTGCCTCATAGGGGAAGTTAGAAGGATTAAAGAAAGAATACAGTTAAATGTTTAGTAGTTCCTGGTACATAGTAAGTGGGGAATGAATGGTAATTGTTCTTGATAATACTTGCCAACAAAGATAATGAAGGCTAGTGTTCCGTCCCTCAATGTGCATTCCGCCCTCCCGTTGTCTTTTTTCTTCCCTCTTAGGTCTTAAAACTGATGCTCATGGGGGATGGCAGTCTTTAGGTTTCTCATAGGACTCCATCTTGGAGGGGTAGCACTGATTGAAGACACTTGTGTTTGGATAGACATTTTTCTCACCAGGCTGCACAAATGCTTAGCAAGCTCTTCAGATGCATTAAAAATACACCTTTAGAGAAGGTTTCTGGGCCTCTGGGCCTGTCCTAGGCTGCTCCTTCCTCCTTGGCTGTTCAGTGCTCTGACTTGGTAAATTGTGCTTTTTCCAGAATCACTACTGAATGCACTGGCTTCTGCCCAGGATAAGCAAAACTGCTTTTCTTCAAATATCCCTGGGAATTAAAGAAAATCTAACTTGCCAGCATAAAAGAACTTGTGTTTTACAATATGTTTCTTCTCTAAGAATAATATATTTCTCTTTGCCCATGTAGAAAACAGCAAGCATTATTGATGTGATAGAAAAGAGGTTAGAGTCTTATCAGCTCTTTGGGGATACTATAGAAAGAGAGGTTAGAGTCTTATCAGCTCTTTGGGGATACTATAGAGAGGTTGAGAGTCTTATCAGCTCTTTGGGGATACTATAGAAAGAGAGGTTGAGAGTCTTATCAGCTCTTTGGGGATACTATAGAAAGAGAGGTTGAGAGTCTTATCAGCTTTTGGGGATACTATAGAAAGAGAGGTTGAGAGTCTTATCAGCTCTTTGGGGATACTATAGAAAGAGAGGTTGAGAGTCTTATCAGCTCTTTGGGGATACTATAGAAAGAGAGGTTGAGAGTCTTATCAGCTCTTTGGGGATACTATAGAAAGAGAGGTTGAGAGTCTTATCAGCTTTTGGGGATACTATAGAAAGAGAGGTTGAGAGTCTTATCAGCTCTTTGGGGATACAATAGAAAGAGAGGTTGAGAGTCTTATCAGCTCTTTGGGGATACTATAGAAAGAGAGGTTGAGAGTCTTATCAGCTCTTTGGGATACTTTGAAATTTAGAGGATACCGTCAGTTGTATCAATTAGGATCCTGTTTGTTGTATGTGATGGAAACCCAGCAGAAACAGTCATAAGCAAAAATGAACATTTTTGACTAACATACCCAAGTCTTGACCACACTGTGATGTCTTCCTGAGGAAGCTGGTCCTGAGATTGAGAAACTTTTCAGATTTGGCAGCTTGATTTCTGTTTCTTTGTCTCTATCTCTTTAGGTTCTGTCTTTTATATCTTCTCTTTCTCTTTCTTAGCCTTATTATTTCTTATCATAGACCTTGTCCTCTCAGTGTCTTCTTAGGCTCTAGATTCAAATCCATCTAGCTCCGTAAGCCAAGGGTAGCTCCTGTCTCCTCTAGGTCCACAGTGAATCCTAGGGAAAAACCGTGATTGATCGGTACTTGGTCATAGGCTTAACCCTGCCTAGAATGAATGTCTTGGCAAAGGGAATGGGGTTCTGTGAGTCCTATTATTGTCTGGGGGTGGATCTCCTATTCTAGTCTTCTCCCCTCTCTCCACATAAAATTGGTGGAGTTGTCCCCAAAGGAAGAAGAAAGGGAGCAGCCTGGAGCATGATGTGATGATGAGGACTCAGAAATCCTTCTCTCCTACCTCTTATACAGTGACTCAAAGTCCAGTTTTATATTAAAGCTTTGGGCTCAGATCATGTGATCCCAGGCATTAGTGTGTTTTAGATGATTTTGCCTTTAATGGTTTCTTTAATTAAAACTTTACTTGTATAATTGTGAAAATTCACCAGAGATACTTAATGATATATGGTGATTCCAGTCTTGGTAAATCATGTTTGGGGGTTACTCATACTCTCTTTTTGGGACTTTGTTTTAACAGGAGCCATTATTTGCAGAGGCTCATAGTCGCTGTGTTAAAAATCAGTTTTATTCTCAGCAGGTCTCAGCCTGTGTGTTGACAGAGTTGCAGCCATTAATCTGATTTGCTTGATCTTGTAGAGATGCTAAACCATGGGAATTGTATCCTCATGGAGTAAATATGAGCTTGCACAAACAGGCTGGCCTTGTGAGGGAATTGGAACATCCCTGTGTTTAGCATCTGAGCGGACGTGCTGACAAAGCAGTCATCTGTATGCCCTGTAACATAATAATTACTAAAGTGGGTAGATGGAAAGAAGGCTACAAACCTCCTTACCTTCAATATATAAAAGCAAAGCTCTAGGAAATGGGCCATTCCCTCCCACTTAGGTTTCTCAAGTTCTCTGGCTACATGTAAAACATGCCCCCGAATAATGTGCATTTCTGTATTTCTTTAGGCTTTGAAGATATGATGCCATAGTATATAAATGGGGCTGGGGCGGGGGGGGGGGGGCTGGTGGTGCAAGGAGTTAGTCTTCCCTTTGGGCCTTATCTCACCTTACCATTACCTTGAAATGACCTCTGTAATTCACCTCGACAGGAACCAGGCAGCTGGGTAGGTTTTTTGATCTTGTTCTTGTTTTTGTTTTTTAAAAGCCAGTTCATCTGTTTCCTTACCTTAAGCAAAACTGACCTATATTGTGTTCTATTTTATTAGGGTTATACCTGTTTCTCCTTTCTGCAGTGTCATAGATCCTTAGTAAAGACCAACATCTTTCAAATTAAACACTTTTCTTACCTTGGTCTTCTTTTTTTTTTTTTAAAGATTTTATTTATTTATTTGAGAGAGAGAATGAGACAGAGAGAGCATGAGAGGGGGGAGGGTCAGAGGGAGAAGCAGACCCCCTGCTGAGCAGGGATCCCGATGCGGGACTCGATCCCGGGACTCCAGGATCATGACCTGAGCCGAAGGCAG